CAAGTTTGTACAAGGTTGTACAAATGTATACAAGGGTATACAAAAGTGTACAAGGGTGCACAAGTTTGTACAAGGGTGTACAAGGTTGTACAAGGGTGTACAAGTGTGTACAAGCTTGTACAAGTGTGTACAAGCTTGTACAAGTGTGTACAAGCTTGTACAAGTGTGTACAAGCTTGTACAAGTGTGTACAAGCTTGTACAAGTGTGTACAAGGGTGTACAGGTTTGTACAAGGTTGTACAAGTGTTTACAAGGGTGTACAAGTATGTACAAGAATGTACAAGTTTGTACAAGTGTGTACAAGTTTGTAAAAGGTTGTACAAGTGTGTACAAAGGTGTACAAGTGTGTAAAAGGTTGTACAAGTGTGTACAAGGTTGTACAAGTGTATACAAGGTTGTACAAGTGTGTACAAGGTTGTACAAGGTTGTACAATTGTGTACAAGTGTGTACAAGTGTGTACAAGGTTGTACAAGTGTGTACAAGGTTGTACAAGTGTGTACAAGGGTGTACAAGTTTGTACAAGTGTGTACAAGTTTTTACAAGTGTGTACAAGTTTGTACAAGGTTGTACAAATGTATACAAGGGTGTACAAAAGTGTACAAGGGTGCACAAGTTTGTACAAGGGTGTACAAGGTTGTACAAGGGTGTACAAGTGTGTACAAGCTTGTACAAGTGTGTACAAGCTTGTACAAGTGTGTACAAGCTTGTACAAGTGTGTACAAGGGTGTACAGGTTTGTACAAGGTTGTACAATTGTTTACAAGGGTGTACAAGTATGTACAAGAATGTACAAGTTTGTACATTGTGTACAAGTTTGTAAAAGGTTGTACAAGTGTGTACAAGGGTGTACAAGTGTGTACAAGGGTGCACAAGTGTGTACAAGGGTGTACAATCGTGTACAAGCTTGTACAAGTGTGTACAAGGGTGTACAGGTTTGTACAAGGTTGTACAAGTGTGTACAAGGTTGTACAAGTGTGTACAAGGGTGTACAAGTTTGTACAAGTTTGTACAAGTTTGTACAAGTGTGTACAAGTTTGTACAAGGTTGTACAAATGTATACAAGGGTGTACAAAAGTGTACAAGGGTGCACAAGTTTGTACAAGGGTGTACAAGTGTGTACAAGCTTGTACAAGTGTGTACAAGGGTGTACAGGTTTGTACAAGGTTGTACAAGTGTTTACAAGGGTGTACAAGTATGTACAAGAATGTACAAGTTTGTACAAGTGTGTACAAGTTTGTAAAAGGTTGTACAAGTGTGTACAAGGGTGTACAAGTGTATACAAGGGTGCACAAGTGTGTACAAGGGTGTACAATCGTGTACAAGCTTGTACAAGTGTGTACAAGGGTGTACAGGTTTGTACAAGGTTGTACAAGTGTGTACAAGGGTGTACAAATGTGTACAAGGATGTAAAAGTTTGTACAAGTGTGTACAAGTTTGTACAAGGTTGTACAAGTAAGTACAAGTTTGTACAAGAATGTACAAGTGTGTACAAGGTTTTACAATTGTGTAAAAGGTTGTACAAGTGTGTACAAGGTTGTACAAGTGTGTACAAGCTTGTACAAGTGTGTACAAGGTTGTACAAGTGTGTACAAGGTTGTACAAGTGTGTACAAGGTTGTACAAGTGTGTACAAGGTTGTACAAGTGTGTACAAGGTTGTACAAGTGTGTACAAGGTTGTACAAGTGTGTACAAGGTTGTACAAGTGTGTACAAGGTTGTACAAGTGTGTACAAGGTTGTACAAGTGTGTACAAGGGTGCACAAGTGTGTACAAGGGTGTACAATCGTGTACAAGCTTGTACAAGTTTTTACAAGGTTGTACAAGTGTGTACAAGGTTGTACAAGTGTGTACAAGGTTGTACAAGTGTGTACAAGGTTGTACAAGTGTGTACAAGGTTGTATAAGTGTGTACAAAGGTGTACAAGTGTGTCCAAGGTTGTACAAGTGTGTACATGGTTGTACAAGGTTGTACAATTGTGTACAAGGTTGTATAAGTGTGTACAAGGTTGTACAAGTGTGTACAAGGGTGTACAAGTTTGTACAAGTGTGTACAAATTTGTACAAGTGTGTACAAGTTTGTACAAGGTTGTACAAATGTATACAAGGGTGTACAAAAGTGTACAAGGGTGCACAAGTTTGTACAAGGGTGTACAAGTGTGTACAAGCTTGTACAAGGGTGAATGAAAATTGACTTAAAAATGAAAATTAAAAATGACTTCAATCTCTGAGGAGAGCCAAAAACCATTTAGAGATGTCCTTGTGATTGGTGATTCCCATCTTCGGTTCTCCACCAACATTGTTGCAGAGAAGGGAGCTTATGTGGAGTGTTGTCCGGGAGGCAGATTTATAGATATAAAAAATAGGTTGTTAAGTTATTTAGATGTAAGCTTGTCAATGATTTATTTCCATGTTGGGTGCAACAACCTTCGACGTGGCTATCGCGGGGGTCCGGGGTACAATGGGGGACATGGGAAGCGCGAGGCACTCCACAGCTTGGCTGACCTTTTGTACACTGCCAGGGCACATTTTCCAAGTTCCAAATTGATTTTGAATAGTGTTTTAATCAGACGAGATCTCAGTTACAAATCCCTCTGCGATTTTAACACCCAAGTTGAGTTGATGTGTAACAACTTCGGTGTTACATTCGTAGAGGCTAACACGTGTGTTGGCAGGGGGGACCTCAGTCGTGATGGTGTACACTTTTGTCGCCGAGGGGTTTCTCGTCTCGGGCATTTGTTTGCAGAGGTGATCAGCACTCTCTGGGGGTCTCAAGAAAATACCCAAGTCTCTGACCAGGGTGTAGTCAGTTTGACATCCACCCCCTTTCCTCCGGATCGGGATCTTGCCACAGGGGTTGTATCTGGCCAGGACCATGACCAAAGTGGGAGTGGGAGCAGTGCCGATGTAGCTACTGTGCCGGGAAACTGATAGGAGGGGGGGGTGACGGCAACTTCAGAATTGGTCACCTAAATATGCGCTCTTTGAACACTGGGTTCTCAGAAATGTGTGCACTTGTACTTGATTTTGATTTCGACATATTTGGTGTGACAGAGACTTGGCTACACCCTGACACTCCCTCAGACAATTACAACATACCAAGCTACAGACTGCTACGCTGTGATCGCAACCTATCTGGTCACCTTCCTGACGAAGCCGATGAAATCGGTGGAGGGGTGGCCTTGTACATAAAGGACAGTATTATGTACGAACTTCACAATTTTTCTGATCATCAGCCTTCTGGTATTGAAACCCTTTCAATTGTTCTGAGAATGAAAAATCAGAGACTGGGTTTGTGTGTATTTTACAGGCCACCTAATATTAGGTACACCTGCCTTGCTTCGATGTTTCACTCCTTGTTTGTTGACCTTGCGGTTGTAGTCGACTCTGTGATCTGTGTTGGTGACACTAACGTTGACTTAATGACAAAAATGAGTAGTGATTCCAAATATTTAAGCCGACTCTTGTGTGAAAATAATGCAGTACAATTGATAAAAGAACCAACAAGGGTGACAGCAACTTCAGCCACCTTGATAGACCACATCATAGTGGACAGGTCAGCTGAAGTCAAGAGGACCGGCATTATCGATGCACCTTCCATTAAAGATCACAGAGGGAAGTCAATTACGGACCACAAGCTAATATACTGCGACTTGTTTTTATCTAATAAGAGGAAAAAGCCAAAGATGGTTAGATATAGAGATTTTTCTAATTTTAACGTTGACAAAGCAGTAAAAGAAATGTCTGAGATTGACTGGAAGGAGATTAAAGAAATAACAGGAGTAAATAACATTGAGTCAGCCTTAACCAGTCATATTAAGAAAATATATGATAAAACAGCGCCGATAGTATGTAAAAGGGTAACAAAGAAAATGGCCCCTTGGAGAAATTATGAAATAAAGAAACTGACGAAGGAAAAAAATCTACTTAGAAACAAATATTGGAAATCGAGAAATGAATCTGATTGGAGTGATTACAAAGAGCTGAGAAACAGATTAAACTTAATGGTCTGGCGAGCAAAAAAAGAATTCTTTACAAATAAGCTTTCAACAACAAACAACAGTAAGAATTTTTGGAAATGTATTAAGCAGTGTGATATACATGGAAACAATAGGGTAGATGTCACTGATGGTTTTAATGTTAACGAAGTAAATAAATATTTTACAGATATGGGTTCTGGGACTCAGGTGGATGAGGAGACAAAGAGATTTTTTACGCTTAATAGGCAAGATGACACAATACAAGAATTCAGATTTAGTGCTGTCACTGAAGAAACTGTCAAAGCAGTAATGAATAATATTAAGTCTAAAGCAGTAGGCTGTGATGAAATCTCTATTGATATGGTTAGAGCTGTGAGTCCGTTTGCCATTGAAGCAATAACATATCTAGTGAATGAGTCATTAATTAATGGAGTATTCCCTCAAGCGTGGAAAAAAAGCATCGTCAGACCAGTTCCTAAAACGGTGTCTGTAGCTAGAATGGAAGACCTGAGGCCAATATCTCTAGTCCCGGCAATATCAAAAATCTTGGAGAAGATAGTTACTAATCAGCTAACGGATTTTATTAATGAGAATCATATATTACCTAAATTGCAGTCAGGGTTCAGAAAGAACCATAGCACCTGTACTGCGTTGACAAATCTCTTTAGTGATATGATTGATGCTAAAGATAAAGGTAGATACAGTTCACTGGTTATGCTTGACTACTCTAAGGCATTCGACTCAATGGATCATGACATGCTGATTGCTAAAATGCACTATTTTGGATTTAGCTATGAAATCACTACCTGGATTCGATCTATCTCATCGACCGACTGCAGGTTACTAGACTTGGAAACGAGACATCAGAACCCCTCGTCAAACAACGGGGTGTTCCTCAAGGCAGCTGCTTGGGCCCTGTTCTCTACACACTTTACACAGCTGACTTCCCTAGCTGTGTAAAAAACTCTACGGCACATTTGTATGCAGACGATTCTCAGTTGCACTTGTCTTTTGAGCCTGTTTTCATGAAAGAGGCAATTGACAAACTCAACGCTGACCTGAAGAGTATCTCCAAGTGGTCATTTGCCAATGGGCTCAAACTGAACCCCGATAAGTGCACTGTCTTACATACAGCGCCTCTGGACCAAGTGCAGACCTTGAGAGATGATGGAGTGTCTGTCTGTCTCGACAGCCGGAGTCTGGTAGTGTGTGAGAAGGCAAAGACTCTTGGCGTCGTGATTGACAGATGCCTGAATTTCTCCGATCATGTCACCTGTGTTTCCCAGCGAGCCTTAGGGAGACTAAGAGGTTTGTATAGGTTCAGAGGCTTGTTGCCTGAGGCTGCAAAACTTCAGCTCGTGCAGTCACTAATACTGTCAGTATTTTACTACTGCTTCCCTGCATATGGCAATAGCATTTCTCGGGAAGACATGTATCGGTTGCAACGTCTGCAAAACTCCACAATCCGGTTCATTTTCTGTTTGAACAAATTTGATCATGTCTCTCCCTTTCGAGAAGTAGCTAGTCTGCTTCCCGTTGAAGCCATGTGCAGGTTGTTGACGTGCTGCATGACCCACCGAGTGTTGTCACTTTGTGAGCCCGACTATTTACGCGAGAGGCTTTCTCTTCGCGATGAGGTTTCCCAGCGGAGGACACGTCATGGTGGGAGGCTTCACCTCCCAAGAGTTTCTCTAGAGCTTGGGAGGAAGAGCTTCTCATATTTTGGTCCCTCATTGTACAATGGTCTACCCGACGGCCTGAAGGTTGTTGCATCTAGCAAAACATTTAAAGAAAAACTTAAAGATATCTTTTTAAAAAAATTGTAATTATTGTCTAAGTGTATAACGACCACATTGATATGTTGAATTGTTTTGTAAAAAATTTCAAATTGTTATGTATAATTGATTGTTGAATAAGATGTTTAGCATAGTGACGAAAGTTGTTCTGAAAAGCTGGTGTACCAGAGAAACGCTGAATAAAGACATTTTTATTTATTATTTATTTATTTACAAGTGTGTACAAGGGTGTACAAGTGTGTACAAGGTTGTACAAGTGTGTACAAGGTTGTACAAGTGTGTACAAGGTTGTACAAGTGTGTACAAGGTTGTACAAGGTTGTACAATTGTGTACAAGGTTGTACAAGTGTGTACAAGGTTGTACAAGTGTGTACAAGGTTGTACAAGTGTGTACAAGGGTGTACAAGTTTGTACAAGTGTGTACAAGTTTGTACAAGTGTGTACAAGTTTGTACAAGTGTGTACAAGTTTGTACAAGGTTTTTGTACAAGTGTGTATACAAGGGTGTACAAAAGTGTACAAGGGTGCACAAGTTTGTACAAGGGTGTACAAGGTTGTACAAGAGTGTACAAGTGTGTACAAGCTTGTACAAGTGTGTACAAGCTTGTACAAGTGTGTACAAGCTTGTACAAGTGTGTACAAGCTTGTACAAGTATGTACAAGGGTGTACAGGTTTGTACAAGGTTGTACAAGTGTTTACAAGGGTGTACAAGTATGTACAAGAATGTACAAGTTTGTACAAGTGTGTACAAGTTTGTAAAAGGTTGTACAAGTGTGTACAAGGGTGTACAAGTGTGTACAAGGGTGCACAAGTGTGTACAAGGGTGTACAATCGTGTACAAGCTTGAACAAGTGTGTACAAGGGTGTACAGGTTTGTACAAGGTTGTACAAGTGTGTACAAGGTTGTACAAGTGTGTACAAGGGTGTACAAGTTTGTACAAGTGTGTACAAGTTTGTACAAGTGTGTACAAGTTTGTACAAGGTTGTACAAATGTATACAAGGGTGTACAAAAGTGTACAAGGGTGCACAAGTTTGTACAAGGGTGTAAAAGTGTGTACAAGCTTGTACAAGTGTGTACAAGGGTGTACAGGTTTGTACAAGGTTGTACAAGTGTTTACAAGGGTGTACAAGTATGTACAAGAATGTACAAGTTTGTACAAGTGTGTACAAGTTTGTACAAGGTTGTACAAATGTATACAAGGGTGTACAAAAGTGTACAAGGGTGCACAAGTTTGTACAAGGGTGTACAAGGTTGTACAAGGGTGTACAAGTGTGTACAAGCTTGTACAAGTGTGTACAAGCTTGTACAAGTGTGTACAAGCTTGTACAAGTGTGTACAAGCTTGTTCAAGTGTGTACAAGGGTGTACAGGTTTGTACAAGGTTGTACAAGTGTTTACAAGGGTGTACAAGTATGTACAAGAATGTACAAGTTTGTACAAGTGTGTACAAGTTTGTAAAAGGTTGTACAAGTGTGTACAAAGGTGTACAAGTGTGTACAAGGTTGTACAAGTGTGTACAAGGTTGTACAAGTGTATACAAGTTTGTACAATTGTGTACAAGGTTGTACAAGTGTGTACAAGGTTGTACAAGTGTGTACAAGGTTGTACAAGTGTGTACAAGGGTGTACAAGTTTGTACAAGTGTGTACAAGTTTGTACAAGTGTGTACAAGTTTGTACAAGTGTGTACAAGTTTGTACAAGTGTGTACAAGTTTGTACAAGGTTGTACAAATGTATACAAGGGTGTACACAAGTGTACAAGGGTGCACAAGTTTGTACAAGGGTGTTTAAGGTTGTACAAGGGTGTACAAGTGTGTACAAGCTTGTACAAGTGTGTACAAGCTTGTACAAGTGTGTACAAGGGTGTACAGGTTTGTACAAGGTTGTACAAGTGTTTACAAGGGTGTACAAGTATGTACAAGAATGTACAAGTTTGTACAAGTGTGTACAAGTTTGTAAAAGGTTGTACAAGTGTGTACAAGGGTGTACAAGTGTGTACAAGGGTGCACAAGTGTGTACAAGGGTGTACAATCGTGTACAAGCTTGTACAAGTGTGTACAAGGGTGTACAGGTTTGTACAAGGTTGTACAAGTGTGTACAAGGTTGTAAAAGTGTGTACAATGGTCTACAAGTTTGTACAAGTGTGTACAAGTTTGTACAAGTGTGTACAAGTTTGTACAAGGTTGTACAAATGTATACAAGGGTGTACAAAAGTGTACAAGGGTGCACAAGTTTGTACAAGGGTGTACAAGTGTGTACAAGCTTGTACAAGTGTGTACAAGGGTGTACAGGTTTGTACAAGGTTGTACAAGTGTTTACAAGGGTGTACAAGTATGTACAAGAATGTACAAGTTTGTACAAGTGTGTACAAGTTTGTAAAAGGTTGTACAAGTGTGTACAAGGGTGTACAAGTGTATACAAGGGTGCACAAGTGTGTACAAGGTTGTACAAGTGTGTACAAGGGTGTACAAGTTTGTACAAGTGTGTACAAGTTTGTACGAGTGTGTACACGTTTGTACAAGGTTGTACAAATGTATACAAGGGTGTACAAAAGTGTACAAGGTTGCACAAGTTTGTACAAGGGTTTACAAGGTTGTACAAGGGTGTACAAGTGTGTACAAGCTTGTACAAGTGTGTACAAGCTTGTACAAGTGTGTACAAGCTTGTACAAGTGTGTACAAGCTTGTACAAGTGTGTATAAGGGTGTACAGGTTTGTACAAGGTTGTACAAGTGTTTACAAGGGTGTACAAGTATGTACAAAAATGTACAAGTTTGTACAAGTGTGTACAAGTTTGTAAAAGGTTGTACAAGTGTGTACAAGGGTGTACAAGTGTGTACAAGGGTGCACAAGTGTGTACAAGGGTGCACAAGTGTGTACAAGGGTGTACAATCGTGTACAAGCTTGTACAAGTGTGTACAAGGGTGTACAGGTTTGTACAAGGTTGTACAAGTGTGTACAAGGTTGTACAAGTGTGTACAAGGGTGTACAAGTTTGTACAAGTGTGTACTAGTTTGTACAAGTGTGTACAAGTTTGTACAAGGCTGTACAAATGTATACAAGGGTGTACAAAAGTGTACAAGGGTGCACAAGTTTGTACAAGGGTGTACAAGTGTGTACAAGCTTGTACAAGTGTGTACAAGGGTGTACAGGTTTGTACAAGGTTGTACAAGTGTTTACAAGGGTGTACAAGTATGTACAAGAATGTACAAGTTTGTACAAGTGTGTACAAGTTTGTAAAAGGTTGTACAAGTGTGTACAAGGGTGTACAAGTGTATACAAGGGTGCACAAGTGTGTACAAGGGTGTACAATCGTGTACAAGCTTGTACAAGTGTGTACAAGGGTGTACAGGTTTGTACAAGGTTGTACAAGTGTGTACAAGGGTGTACAAATGTGTACAAGGATGTAAAAGTTTGTACAAGTGTGTACAAGTTTGTACAAGGTTGTACAAGTAAGTACAAGTGTGTACAAGGTTGTACAAGTGTGTACAAGGTTGTACAAGTGTGTACAAGGTTGTACAAGTGTGTACAAGGTTGTACAAGTGTGTACAAGGTTGTACAAGTGTGTACAAGGTTGTACAAGTGTGTACAAGGTTGTACAAGTGTGTACAAGGGTGCACAAGTGTGTACAACGGTGTACAATCGTGTACAAGCTTGTACAAGTTTTTACAAGGTTGTACAAGTGTGTACAAGGTTGTACAAGTGTGTACAAGGGTGTACAAGTGTGTACAAGCTTGTACAAGTGTGTACAAGCTTGTACAAGTGTGTACAAGCTTGTACAAGTGTGTACAAGGGTGTACAGGTTTGTACAAGGTTGTACAAGTGTTTACAAGGGTGTACAAGTATGTACAAGAATGTACAAGTTTGTACAAGTGTGTACAAGTTTGTAAAAGGTTGTACAAGTGTGTACAAGGTTGTATAAGTGTGTACAAGGTTGTACAAGTGTGTACAAGGTTGTACAAGTGTGTACAAAGGTGTACAAGTGTGTACAAGGTTGTACAAGTGTGTACAAGGTTGTACAAGTGTGTACAAGGTTGTACAAGTGTGTACAAGGTTGTACAAGTTTTTACAAGGTTACAAGTGTGTACAAGGTTGTACAAGTGTGTACAAGGGTGTACAAGGTTGTACAAGGGTGTACAAGTGTGTACAAGCTTGTACAAGTGTGTACAAGCTTGTACAAGTGTGTACAAGCTTGTACAAGTGTGTACAAGCTTGTACAAGTGTGTACAAGTGTGTACAAGTTTGTAAAAGGTTGTAAAAGTGTGTACAAGGGTGTACAAGTGTGTACAAGGTTGTACAAGTGTGTACAAGGTTGTACAAGTGTGTACAAGGTTGTACAAGTGTGTACAAGGTTGTACAAGGTTGTACAATTGTGTACAAGGTTGTACAAGTGTGTACAAGGTTGTACAAGTGTGTACAAGGTTGTACAAGTGTGTACAAGGGTGTACAAGTTTGTACAAGCTTGTACAAGTGTGTACAAGGGTGTACAGGTTTGTACAAGGTTGTACAAATGTATACAAGGGTGTACAAAAGTGTACAAGGGTGCACAAGTTTGTACAAGGGTGTACAAGGTTGTACAAGGGTGTACAAGTGTGTACAAGCTTGTACAAGTGTGTACAAGCTTGTACAAGTGTGTACAAGCTTGTACAAGTGTGTACAAGCTTGTACAAGTGTGTACAAGTGTGTACAAGTTTGTAAAAGGTTGTAAAAGTGTGTACAAGGGTGTACAAGTGTGTACAAGGGTGCACAAGTGTGTACAAGGGTGTACAATCGTGTACAAGCTTGTACAAGTGTGTACAAGGGTGTACAGGTTTGTACAAGGTTGTACAAGTGTGTACAAGGTTGTACAAGTGTGTACAAGGGTGTA